TCTGCCAATTAGGAATAATGGGACAAACTTTTAGCTAGGCACCTGCCTCATATTAACAGTTAATTCCTGCATCCATGGACACAGAAGAACCAAGCAGGTCAACTTTCCAATCCCGCCGAAAAGAGGTGGATGGATCACTGTTCCCTTTAACTAGACCCATTTCGGGTTGGCAGGTTAAGTTCGGATCAGCGGGTTTTCTATTATACCCGATCTCAACCCGACACACCAATACGATTTGGACCCGATTGCCACCCCTAACTATATTGGTAAAAAAATAATATATTTTACAAATTGTTCCAATTAATTTAGAAAATGTTACTAATTTCATTACAAATTATGAAATGTAATCATGGTTTACTAATTTTGTACTAAACATAAATACTGCATACAAAAGGAAAAGATATTTGACTTTGTTTTACTTTGATTAGAAAAAACTTGTGGTAGTAATAACGAAATAGTGACTTTGGTGCAAATTTCAAATCAACAAACTAGTAAATTTATGCCACAAACTAGTAAGTTTTGATGATTAACCAAATTTACTATTCTTTCAACAAGATTTACTATTAATCTATAAAAACTTACTATTACTTGAACTAAACTTACTCCCCACAAAACTAAGTTTCGAATGTAGAGTAATAATTTAATTTTTAAAAAAAGTAACTTTCATTCATTTTTATTTCGATTTACTTTTTGAAACATAAATAGGATAACACTTATATGACCATTTTTAATTTATTTTTTATTTACTTTTAGCGGCCATTTGATTATTTGATAGGCCTATCCACCTAAATAGGATAATACTTAAAAATAAAAAAGTAAGTTTTTCATCTAAAATAGTAAGTTAACAGTAATAAATTAGTAACTTTTATACTTCAAAATGTAAATTGGAATAAACATTAAACTTACTTTCTAAATAAATAAATTACTACTTTATATCCCAAACTTACTTTTTATAGTGTAAGTTTAATTCAAGTAATAGTAAGTTTTAATACATAAATAGTAATTCTTACTGATAACATGGTAAAAATGATTAATAATCAAAACTTACTGATTTATGAGACACATGTACTATTTTACTTTAAAACATATTTCAAACTAGTGTTAGGGAATTTATTTGAAATAACGATAAGATGTTTTATTAATGATTAATTTTTAGTACCTTAGTTAGTAAATACTCATAATATACCTGTATAATACAAGATTATAGTTATCATTTAAAAAAAATTTATTTACATATTTTAAAATACTATGGAAAAAAGTTTGACTTTTCACATAATCTCGTAAAATATGTAATAAAATTTTGTCCTATTATAAGTTTTTAATTATTTTCAATTTTTGAAAAGTTTGAAAGTTTGGATAATAATAACAACAAATCTTCCTAGTTATATATAGAATATTACTTGTTTATGTATCAAAATTTTTATAAATTAACACCTATGAATACAATAAGATGATAAAGTTTTAATAAATTTACATTTGAGACACAAGAAATAATAAGAGTAAAAGCCTAAACAAAATGAGAAATAATATAATAACAAAAATGATAAAATTAGTATAACAATTAATATAAGAAAATTAAATTAAATTTAGAAGGTAAATTAAATAACGATGTCAAGGTTAGAGGTCATGTTAATGTTACAAATTTTAGGAGAAATTATGTATTATAAAAATGGTTTAATTATTTTCTATTAAGCATAACTACTACATACAAAAGGAAAAGATATTTGATTTTATTTTGCTTTGATTAGAAGAACTTGTACTAGTAATAAAGGAAATTTCAATTCAACAATCAACGTGCACATTATTACAGTAATTTTTTAGTCATTTAGACTAATATGTGCCATAAAGTAGTCAGATTTAGTCGTTTGTGAATTCATAATTTTAACAGTTTATATAAAATTCATCTATTAAAAATTATGATTATTATAAAATGCCCTTTTATAATAATTTACTTACCATTTGCCAATAAAAAAAAAGTTTGATAGAAAACATATGGATACAAATCCATAATGTAAATGACACAAAGTATGTTTGAAAGTCACAGAACTTAACATATGGGTAATTTTACTATAATTTTCAAAGATTATGCTATGTTAATACAACTTTAATTTTTATACTTGTGACCCAGAAAATAAATTTATTAAGATTTTACCATTTTATTAAATTCATACGCATTAATATATGAAAATTACGTACCATTTTATTATATTCATCGGTGTCCATATATGGAAATTGTGATGTATAGATAAGTGCAATTCTATATATAACTCGAAAGATTTTTTTTTACTGTCATCCAAACTTTTTAACCTTTCACAAATTCAAAAATAATTCAAAATTTATAATATGACAAATTATTCTTACATATTTTATAAGGTCATATGCAAAAAAAAAGTTTTCATAGTTTATTTAAAATGCTTAAAACATATAACATTTATAAATGATACGTACAATTGTGTATCATACATTTACATTACGAGTAATTACTAACTATAATATTAAGTTTCAATTATTAATAAAAAATCTTAGCATTATTTCAAATAAACTTCCTAATACTTGTTCCATATAAGTTTCTTTAAGTAAAATAGTAAATTTATGCCATAAACTAGTAAGTTTTGATGATTAACCAAATTTACTATTCTATCAACAATATTTACTATTAGTCTATAAAAACTTACTATTATTTGAACTAAACTTACTCTCCAAAAAGTAAGTTTTAGATATAGAGTAGTTATTTACTTAAAAAAAAAAAAGTAAGTTCCATATTTCTTCAAATTTACTTTTTGAGACATAAAAGTTACTAATTTCTTGAGTTAATTTACTATTTTTAATGTAAAACTTACTAACCATATTTTTAGGTACTATTTTATTTAGATGACCAGTACAACAGGTAATCAAATGGTCGCTAAAAGTGTTTTTACCTGTTATATCAGGTCAAAACAGTTTCGTTATCATAACGCTCGTTTCAAGTTTGGCCTCGTTTCAAGTTTTTTGATCAAATACTCTTCTTGATCTATAGTAAATATTCTGTACTCTTGACTCATTTTTCATTCTTCCATTTCTTTTTCTTTTTTGTTGCATATCCATTTTATTTCTACCCGCTTTACTTTTTTTTTTTCCAATGCATTTTCTCTCCACTAAATTTTCATTTTGTCTCCACGCAACTTATTTCCTTTTTTCCTTTATCCATCTCTTTAAAAATCAAATTTTAGCAGCATTTAAAAATCATATCTACTTTAGTTACTTAAGTGTACGAGTCTGTCAATTAGTTCAACATATATATTTATAGCTAATTGGTTTGGAGAAGAGAGTGTAAGTGAAAGGTTTTGGATTCGATCCCTCCTATTTATACTAAAAAATGTTAAAAAATGAATTGGAATATTATAAAAATTCTCACGGAGTGTTTTGTTTATATGAGTGAGAGCACAAACTTGTAAAAATTGGAGGTAAAGGCAAAGAAAAATTAAAGTAATTCAGCACCTAAACTAAATTGGCCGAGATTAGGGAGTTTTGTGAAGAACAAAAGGAAACAATAATAAAAAAGAAAATATAACAAAGTAAGGAAAGGATTTGATATGTTTTAGAGGTTTCTAATACAAGCATAACCATGAGATGAGAAATATAAAATTGAACTACTAATTCGCTTCAACTCAATATTTTTGCATCAAGATCGATAAATGAACTAAATAAGTTTTCGATTTATTGATCAATCGATTTAACCAAACACGACAGACTTTTAACTTTTTTAAATTTATTTGACTGTAAAAAAAAACTAAATAATACTGAATTTAATAAAATTAGTACTCAACTAGTACAGACATCCCAACTGGTAAATTAACCATATATTCTTAGTTAGTTCATTAATGTTTTTAAGTAACACTTTATTTCCATTTTTTGTTTCAAATAGCATTATAAATGACATAATTTACTCTTTTGTTTATATGACAAAATTTTTAGATAGATGTTAATCAATGGGAGGTTGTATGCCTATTAATTTTAAACAATAAATTTTACTTTTAGTCCTTATTTTTCAGTAAGAAAAATAAGCAAACCGACCTTTATTTTTCGACGAAAAAATTGTGCTCTCTTGACTCTTTCTTCTAATTTTATCTCAAAATATTTTGGAATTTTGAATTAGTTAAATAATGTAGCGTCATAACTTGATTCTCTATGAGTAAACTAATACATTTTTATTATGTAAATCACTAAGGCGAGCACATGTTTCATAAGATGACAAACATAACATTTGTCTATAATTTAATGATATAATATTTTTCAGATGAATTGCTACACTGACAAAATATATTAGAGCATCATAACTTGAATTTGAGTTTCACATTTTATATGCACGATATGTATCTAGACCCAATAGTTTGTATATATAGTCAGTACAAGACATATTTACCCATATTTTTTAACATAATAGATTTAAAAGACCAAATTAAAAAAATTTCTCACTTCTATGAGACTAACCTGAATTATTTAGTTCCATGCTTCAAATTGAGATTTTATGTTAGGGACCAAATTGATACTCGTTTGAATTAAGGGATTTGACAAATGATTTGACATCTTCTCAAATCTATCTAGTAGTTAAAATTATTTAGGAAGTATTTACATTTGTAAGCTACTAATTATTCTAATATTTAAAATATATTTTAATAATTAATGTATTACAAATCCAAATTCCTATTAAGCAATCTAAATAGTACTAGAGTATTTCAAAGGACCAAATTGAACTTTTCCAATTTGACTGACTGAATTAAAATTTTGGAGTTCAAAGGACCAAATGAAGTTTACCAACCCCAAATAGCTGTCTTTTATTACTCCACTATTTTGGGTCCCTGACACAGCACCCGGGTGTGTAAATGCCACGTTCGCATCGTACATGAATCAATTGTGTCGGCTAGTTTCTACCGCTTTTTCTAGTTTCTGGCGAATGTGTGGTCTTAGACTTATCGATACTTTATCGTCCTTGTCATCCGGATGGTAAATCCTTAGCCGAGCTCCCCCGGCCCCTGTAATTCCCACCAGCCCCCCCGCTCGCCCACAAACATACCCCAGGCCCCGAGAAGCCCTGGGAAGCGATCCCGCAGAGGGCGGGGAGAATCCCCTCGGCGCGGGATTGAGACTATTCGTGACAGGTCCCGAAACGTACGGAAGTCGGACTCACAAGCAGGTATAAATGGTAACGCACATCCACTGCACAAGGTACGCTCACTATTCGCCAATTACTCTGGACCATTTTACTTCCCGTGAACCTCATTCATCGGAAAACTAATTTGATCGTCGGAGTGCCCTCGGGGACGACCTCGGGGCTCCCCTGCGAGATCATTCTCTTGTTCACTTTGCAGGTTTGTGACACGCTCTTCTCATCAGCACGCCGAGCTCGTCAGGTCAGCTCGGTCCGGGCAAGTTCATTGCTTCTTCAATGGCTAAAAACGACGTTTAAACTCAATTGCATGCTGTCAAAGTACAATGTCAATTGTCAAGCAACCTAAGCAGTGAGGTCACGTTAGGGACTGGGACACGTTTTTCTCAAGGTCCGCCGACGAGAAGCGTCCAAGCTAATTTACCTGTCTTATTCACTGGGAAAAAAAAAAAAAAAGAAGAAGAGAAGAGCACCTCGTACTTCCTCCTACCTAGGTAATTGAATAGGCACGTTTGGACTCTGGAGGAGCCACAGTTTTTAATCTATTTATTATGGAAAGAAGATGTGAGAAGAAACAGCCAGAGTGAGCGTCAGTGCCGGGCATCAGCAGAATTGTAAGCATATCCATTGTTGGAGTTGGAAAACTACAGTTACTCCGCCAAGTAAAGAGATGACAGAACATGTTAGGCCAAGCTGCTCAACTGGGAAGCTGCGCATTCTCATTCGATCCTCTCTCTTCAGCTACCTGATTTTGCCGCTAGTTCTTGTGCAATTATGTTCAAACCTTGCTTCGGCTGGTTCCCCTGTTAAGTTTCTCCCAGGATTCGAAGGACCTCTGCCATTTGAACTCGAAACCGGGTGGGTAACTCAATATTTTTGTAACAGTAAGTTAATTTCTGGTGCATTAACTTGGGAAAGATTGAAGTAGTTTTGAGATTGTACAACCAGGTATATAGGAGTTGATGAATCAGAGGATGTGCAGCTTTTCTACTACTTTGTCAAGTCAGAGTCCAGTCCTGAAACAGACCCTCTTGTGCTCTGGTTGACTGGAGGCAATTGCTGCACCTCATTCTCTGGGCTTGCTTATGAGATAGGTAGATTTAGTGCACGCCGATAATAAGTATGGAGTGTGAATTAAGAGCATGGATTATACGTAATCCCTTTTCCTGATTTCTTCATAATTCCACCATACCCTTTCATCTTTGACTTTTGCACAAGCTTGAAATCTTGAAAGATCCCTTTTTGCCAGTTTCAGAAACTTAGCTTCATAAATTATGTACTCTGCGATTCTATATTAGGCCCCTGTATTTTTTTCTTCTTCCTTTTGGTTGTTTCACCAGACATATATCTAGTTGGGGAGGCCCGTATATTTGTATACATGTTTTAATTAATGAATACAAGCAAGACTCAGTAAAACATCCTTTTCACAGGATTCAGGATTGTTTTCAATCGTACGTCCAGGAAAAGAGCAAAAGAAACCATTTTTCTGACAATAGATTTTGGCTTCATCAATATCCACCCTTTTTCCCATCAGTGTTTCAAACCCAATCCTCTCTGTATGAATGATGTATTTAGTGGAGCGGAAACACGCCAAAACCCAACCAATTCCTCATTGACCTGTGATTTTGCAGGGCCAATAAAATTCGAGCAAGTGCTGTACCATGGGACTTTGCCCAAGTTGCTGTTAAATCCCTATTCTTGGACTAAGGTAAACTCATCATCGAGTGTCTTTCTTCCTTTTTGGTCAAAAGATATCAATGATATACTGGTAGGGTAGACTCTTAAGTCAAAACAGAAAGTTCATCGTACAGTAGATTACTGATCTATCACTAGTTCACTACTGATAGTGTTTGATAATGTTCAATTTTCTGGTGTTTAGTTGAATGCTAGACTGACCATAATGTGTCATTACTTTTCAGGTGGCAAGCATAATATTTGTCGATTTGCCAGTGGCAAGTGGTTTTTCTTATGCAAGGACTGCAAAAGCTTCTCAGTCCACAGTTTTACAAGCCTGTAACCAAGCCTACGAATTTCTTAGAAAGGTACACGCCTACCATTATATGATCATTAGCCATCATTTTGATGGAGCATGGAGACCATGTGCAATTGATCAAAAGCTAGAAAGTTGCCACTTTTATCTTGATGCCACTGAACCAGAGATTTGATCCCTGCCTACGTAGACCTGGACAAGACTCCAGTACCTTTGGACCAAACTGCCAGTTATAGATGTCACCTCTAATTACTACTCAGGAAAATGCCATATTTGTAGGCAAATCTTTTACTTTAAGTGAAAGTGTATATCAATTTTCTCTGTTTATATGTTGTTATGTACTGCATAAGTATCCATAAAAGAAGTTCACAACCGCGTCCATTATTTTGGTGATTGAGAATTCGTTACGTCTTTACCGATTTAGATCATAAAATAAAGCTTGCTGGTGACCTAAGCTTTAATGATCCATGTATTGAAGCATGTAGACTTCTCAATGACATTAACATGAAAAGAGTGATGATAAATGATATTCATCTTTTGCAAAGCGCCTCTCAACTGTTGATTGCTTTACAGTGGCTGGTTGATCATCCAGAGTTCATTTCCAGTCCAGTCTATATTGGTGGAGACTCGTACTCAGGGATTACTGTACCAATTGTCACTCAAATTATATCAGATGGTAGGCCCTTAATTTGGTTCTTTATGTAGGCACCTCCTATTGATTAGGCTCTAGTACATTCCGATGATAACAGTTATTTACTAGCCTTTGTAAAAGACTTGAAGGTATTGCAAATGCTTTTGAAATTTTAGATATCCCAAGCGTGTTTAGTAGACATACTGCCTGCTTACACTTGAAGTCAATGTTTACAATTTAATGACCGAGCTTTGAGAGAAATAGAAATAGAAAGTGCCTCCAGAATCTGCATACAGTTTATTTATCTTTGCAGCATTATTCTTTCGAGTTGGACCCTAATGACTCGAAGTTGCACTGTTCAATGTCCTTGCACTTGCTTATGTTGAAGAATTCTCTCAAAGGATTCAATGGCTCTAAAACTAATGTTCTGGTGCCTCTGCAGGAAATGAGGTCGGTATTGAGCCACTTATCAATCTTAAGGTTTGTATTTTTCATAATCTTCTCTCTTTCATCTAGGGATAGCAAGATAACTAGATACCTGGACAAATTTTCTTCATACTGAGGTTGACCATTGTTTAAGAAATGCGCTTCATTTACTAATCTGGTGTATCAACACCATGGTTCAAAGACTCACCCGAGACTAAGATGACTCGGCCGAGTCGTCACCGGAATGGGGTTTTTCGTTCTGATACTGGGACGAGATGAATCCAACATAATGGATCGCCAAAAATTCGGCCGAGACGTCTCCGAGACGGATAGAAGCTGCCGAATCGCTCCGAGTCAACTTGAAATTTTATTATTTTTGCTAATTTTTTATTATTTTTGTTTATCATATTTTTTTACAATTTTAGAATACTAAATGTTTCAAAAATTTGCGTCTCGCCAAGACCGCGACCGATATGCCAATACTAAAGTGGAACGGTCCGGGTCACACGACCGTGACTTTCAACCATGATTCAACACTATATTCGTATTTTCTTATTTATGCTTCACTGCTAACTTGTCACAACCCTCAAATGGCTTCAGGGATACATACTAGGAAATCCTTCCACCACTCCAGGTGATGGAAACTATGCAATCCAATTTGCTCATGGGATGGGGCTAATTTCTGATGAGCTCTATGAGGTTGTTTATTCTTTGAATACCTGAGGTCTTTTAGAACTTTCTTGCGTACTCAGTACTAAATAATTTCCATAGTTCTCTAATTGGCCAAGATAATTGTTTCACAGTCCTTGAAGCTTTCCTGTAAAGGAGAATATCGAAACATAGATCCCAGCAATGCCCCCTGCTTGCGAAATATGCAGGCATACAATCAGGCAAGCAACCACTTTTCTGCAAGTTCTGTGCTTTCTCTATTTTGAGAAATGAGTCACTATCCAAGTACATATACTCAACTTCCCAAACCCCTCCCCCTCTCCAAGAAAAGGGGGATAACTAAAAAACTTGTCTTCAATTTCAAAATTAATGTAATCAATACGTTTGTGCAGTTACTTAGTAACATTAACGAGGGACATATTCTGGAGCCTGACTGTCCTTATGCTTCCCCAAAGCCAAACAATTTATTCACTGGCAGGAGATCAACTATTCAAGTGTTCTGTAAGAAGACTCGAGAGCTGAAAATTCAGGAACTTTCTGCACGATTTACGTGTCGTGTAAGATAGCAATATCTACATGAACTCCTGCATAAACACATTGTGATTATTTGCAGCAACTCTTGTGGTTAATATGAGTTCTCGTAACAATCATGGATTTGTTTCTATGCTTGTTTTAGATGGATGGATATAGACTTGTTTATCATTGGGCTAATGACGAGAGTGTTCAAAAGGCCCTCCATGTCCGGAAGGTATGTCAACAGAAAACAAGCAGCTAAATATGCATGTTATGTTTACTTGTCTCTGTGCATGTAATTTTGTGAAATCACATGGCAGGGGAGTATTGGAGAATGGATAAGATGCAACTGTCGCTACCCGTATATAAGGAATATAGGAAATAGTTTGCCATACCATGCAAACCTCAGCATTAGAGGCTACAGATCTCTGATATACAGGTTTGATGCCTATGCTTCACAAGTTCAAATATTAGCACTTAGTGCAACCATTGAGTAAACTTTCAATTCTGTCAATTGTTATTCTCTGAAGAAAGTAAAATTTTGTGGTTCAGTGGTGACCATGATATGCTTGTGCCACATTTTGCAACTCAAGCATGGATAAAATCTCTTAATTATTCCATAATAGATGATTGGCGCCAATGGATTCTACAGGGCCAAGTTGCCGGGTTCGTTCACAAAATGAATCTTTTACTAATTTGAGATAAAACTACAATAGAAACAACTCATATGGATTTATTTTTCTTGAAGTGCAGTTATACGAGGACCTACGCAAATAAGATGACGTTTGCAACAGTAAAGGCAAGAAATTCTCATTTTCTTTTGCTTCAATGCACAATTTAACTGCAAAAACTGAGAAAAACCTGAACCAACCATACTGAATTTTCACCAGGGAGGAGGCCATATTCCTCCTGAGTACAAGCCTGCTGAATGTCAAGCAATGTTTGAAAGGTGGATATCTCATCAGTCTCTATAAGCAAAAGGTCCAGTCCTAAGTATGGCTGCAACTTGCATCCCAAACTTCGCTGTCTAAGTTATGTTTATTTTCAAGGGGCTGCTTTCTTATCAAAATAGACTGAAAAAAGAACACAAATAAAATGTAGTCGAAGCTGGAGTCACCAAGAGGTGAGGTAGCGCGAGGTTGGAGTTCTAAACTAAGCAAGCCCTGCAATTCCTTTATAGATTAATTAACAAGACGTGGATATGAAGCACGTCTTATCTATGCAAAGAATTTCCAGATTGTGCTGATGATATTCGTTGATTAACGCTCTGCTTTATTCAGCCAAATATTGCTTGTAATCGGTTACGGCTTGAAAGTTGGAACTGGGGATCATGCAATTCATATGATCAACTGCCAAGAGGCTTGTTGAGCATTTATAATTTGCGAAAGAAGGTTGGTATAGAGCTGCTGCTTTGTCCTTTATCATTATCATTATCATTATCATTATCATTACTACTAGAGAGAAGGCCCATGCAAAGCATTGGAGTTTATACCTGTGGTGTTGTTAAATAATTTGGTAATGTTGGACAATTTGTTTTTACCTTAAGTAAGACATATTATTATGGTAGCCAAAAAATGTCATGCCATGTGTGGATAAAACATTGCATACTATTATAATAGATAATCAGTTGAGAGAATTATAGAAGTTTACGCAACCATAGTTAAGGGATAATAGACATGGTTGTAGTTTAGATTGAGAGTTGATGCTGAATGGTTCTACTATTCAACCTCATATTATTCACATAGATAGATAGACAAAGTAGTAGTCCTGAGATGTAATTAGGTAAATAGCTGAGATAGCAGTCTCGCAATCCTTTCTATTGAAGAGTAGGTGATACAGGAATGAGAAAGGACACGATTAGATTTTTGCTTCTCTAGCTACGGTATTTCTTGGTTGGTGGCTAAGCAGCTTCTGCAGAGTTTTGAATTTTAGTAATTGTGGTCGGAGCTTGGTTTTGTGGTTACTTCTGAAGATTTATGTTTCATGAGTTCAACTAAATTTAGTAAGAAAATAACATAACATATGAATATAGAGACTTGTCTATCCAAATAGCAATTTCAATCCACACACAGCGACTCATGCACTTAACTATTGATTAAAAAATTGCATCACCTGTAATGTAATTTTAAAATTGGATCAATCATTCACACACTTATTAATGACGCAACATAGTTGTAATCAATGCAATAAAATTGTAATTACATATAAACAACAGATGAAATGCAGTAAGTGGAAATACACAATTACCTTGTACCTTGAGGAACAAAATGCAATCTGACAAGAAAATTTGCCTACACTTCACCCAATTGCAATAGTTATGACAAAAGCTAATTCAAGAATTTTATTGTGCAAACAAAGCTGTACAGTTCACGAAGCGAGAAGCACGAGTGAAAATGAGCATACCTCTGCAAATCTGACTCTGATGGTGTGAAAGAGAAACATCTAAACCCACAATTTTATATATTAATGACTACCATTACTGCCACTTAGTTCAAAAACTAATTTCCAAATGGTGGAGAAGATAGGGGGTCTTCAGTTACAGTTGTAATGTTGAGTTCAAATGATTGTTAATCTCCCACACTTTAATGGACTCTTCAACATGCTGCAATTACTGGTCCAAATGAGTGTGTTATGTTGGAAGAACTCAATTAATGTTTCTTGAGCTTTAACGATGAAGAGCACAAAACTGCCTACGATTACAATTCACAAGTCGTCTTCAAATGGTCCTTTTCCTTTAGCCCATTAATATTGTCTTAAACACATTCAATTCAATGGGATGGCTTTACCCCTACTTCCTTTCTGTCTTACCATTGTACTCAGTAGGTTGTTAAAAGGATGAAACTGTCACTAATAACGCATAAGTACCATTTGCCAATGTAATCATCATCTCACAAAGGGCATTTTAGTAAACTCATACTCCAATAAGTATGGCTTGCTTGTATTCTAAGATGGATTACTTGTATGATACTTATACAATCCCCAAATTGCCCTTAAAATGTCAGATGTAGACCACCCAACAGACAAATTACAACTCCATTATATATATATATATATATAGGATATAAAAAATATGAATTTTGGTATTAGAAAGTGCAAGTGTAAGTACTTTTTTATCTTAATATTTGTTATCCCTAAATTACTCTTGTGTTTTTTAATTAGAATTATTGCATTTGAATGTGGTACTAATTAAAAGAAATAAAACATTCCAATTGATTACATCTTAATAGTATTGGTAATTATAATTAAAAATTGCTCACTAAAAACTATTTACCTACCATTGGACTCCATCCCCAATTATTATACGTATCAAAATTTCTTAATTGAATTATAAAAAAAATCAATTTCAAAAAATAGATGCTCTCTAGAAAGTGGAGCAACATACAAGGAGAAGAGAAACCTTATTCATATATTTATATTTTCATACAAATATCACTAGTAAATTTTACAATTATGCACTTTTTACCAATATAAAGAATTTTTCATGTTGCACCCAATGGAATTTCAATATACAAAAAATGATGATACCTTTATAACTAAAATAGCAATATTAAACTGGAAAAAGGAAATCCAAAATCGCATCATACAAACCACTATTATCATTAATAGTAACCGATCGAAACAAGAAAAACTGAAAAAAAAAAATTGAACACTCTTTATAAAACGACATAAAGTAAATAGCTGATGAATTAAAAAGTTAGAATACAATTCAGATAATACCAAAAACAACATCCAAATCATTGATATCTAGAAGAAGATAAACATTTTATTGACAATAATATAGTTATGCTTCATTTGTATTGGTTTAAGCAAACCAAATCCATCCATCAAGTCAGAAGCCATCTCCAATGATAAAATAAGAATTATAATAAGAGTAATTTTAAAATGAAGAATGATATCCAAATTATTTTCGGTGATGTGCAAAATACCCTTATTTTTCTAATGATTACATATATTTATTGTATTGCAATATTAGTGAATAATGGAAGTTGTTATGAAATGAAAATATTTAAAATTAAGTAAATTTCATTTATAGTGACAATCGTAATTGGACAGATTTAGTGCATTTCAATAATTAATAATAATGATAGTGGTTATGGATTAAAAGTTGCCAATTAAAAAATAAAACACTGTAATATACAAAAAATTAGTATTAAAGTTTTTAATTAGCCACAATTCTCATTCTAATTCCACGATCATAAAAAAACTAATACTAAAACCAAAAATATTGTGCTCATATGAAAAAAGTAGACTTTTTGCTTTTGTTTAGCATTTGATTGTGCTAAAAATATGAATAAAAAAAAGAAAAATAGAAAAACTCCAACTATCTCTATCTATAAAATTTTAATTGTCAGGAAGTACAAGCCAAAAAAACTTTAAGTGGTGGATCATTTATACTCCATTATTGACAAAAATAGAATTAACATAATACAAAGAATTCAAATTACATGTATGTTTATTTTTCTAACTTAATTATATTCGTTGTTTATAAAAAATTGTGATGATTGTGGTTTATATGCAATAGAATCATGAATATACAATAATTTTGGTAAAACATGATATTATCAATATTTGATACGTTAGAGTTCCAGTCATAAATCAAAAAGTATTTGGTTCATGATTAGGGCTGGAGCTGAACCAAATAGCTCGGCTCGAGCTCGAGCTCGGTTGATCAAGCTCGATCTCGAGCTCGAGCTGCTCGTTAGAGCTATCGAGTCGAGTTCAATCATGGAAATATGATACTCGAGAGCTCGACGAGCTCTATCGAGCTTTTTATAATATATATTTTAATTTTTATTATTGTGAAATGTCAATAATATCCTTTATTTAAAATTATATATAAAATATTAATTTTTATTACTTGAGTTTGATTAGGCTTGATTGAGCTCGAATAAGCTCGATTGAGCTTGATTTGAATTAATTACATTTAATTAAACTCGAGCTTGAGTTTGAGCTCAAGTTACATTTAATTAGTTATTTTGCCTCGAGTCGCACTACTCGAGCTCGACTCGACTCGACAGCACCCCTATTCATGATTCCAACTTCAATCCTAAGGAACATGTCAACTACGTTGAAATGTTTTCTATCTCTTTTCATTTAATAAAATTTTTAAAAGTAACTAGCTTAAAAAACTAAATAACATAAAAATACTATATTATGATGTTGATGATCAAAATTTCATAAAAAAATTTTAGTATCTAACAAACAATATATTTTAAAATATTACAATCAAGGGCAAAGCACATGACCTAGTACTAGTATAAATAAATGGTCAGATTTTAGGACCCAAGACTTTACAGTTTTACCAATTGCCATATTATGTGATATAGATTCCTGAACTTCAAAAATTGATAGCAATTATCACAAACCATCTAATTACGATGTGTCATAGATGACAAATTCAGCCAACTTTAGCAAACCCATGCATTTCAAAGATTAGCCACAAGAGGCTGACCAAAAAACGGAGGAGAATCTGGGTAAAAGATACTTGAATATAGAACTCTTATAAAATGAACTCATGTAAAACTATAATAAATTCTAAAGGGAGCTGAAAGTTAACCCCACAAACAGTTTACAAGTGGGTAAAAGAAAAACAACCATAACAATCAATGCTCAAATGCAAGAGCACGAGGCATCCATAGAGTTGGAGTAGGAATTCCATGTTAAGATAAGAGACGGGAAAACATGTGCACTTTAGGGATTCTTTGATCTGGAACCTGTTTTTGCTTCTAGTTCTAGCACTTCTTTCACAGGTATGTTCAAACTTGCTATGGCTGGTTTCAGGGTACTAAGGTTGATCAAAGTTCTAAAAAAAAAAAAAAAACTGGATTCCTTGTGTGATGTTACCAGGTGTATAAGATTAGATGAATCAGAAGATGTGCACCTAATCTGCTACCTCGTCAAGTCAGGGTCTGATCCTATGGACCTGCTTGTGCTTCGGTTAAGTGGAGGTCCTGGCTGCTCTTCATCTTCTGGGCTCGCTTATGAGATCGGTGAACTCCTTAGCCACTGCATTGCACTGTCGACAGCCCTTCCCCACCCCGTTTTTGAAAATGGCATTGGCCCTTACTATTTGATCAGTCCACCACATAGTAAGCCTGTGAAGGTGATTTTCTGTGACTTTGAAAACAGTCCTTCTCAGTTTTCCAGACTCCTGCACGTTAAAAACCAACGTGGTAACTGGTTTAAATTGAGTGAGATTGGCGCTTAGGTTCCGTTGAACAAAGTTTGGCCCATCTCCTGCAAATTCCAGAAACAGGCCCCAGTACTTCCCTTTATGATTTTGGAGCTTCACCTGAAATTTGTCATCGTATAAGTGCAAAAGAAAAGTATGAAGTTTTGATCCTTGATTGCATGATTTACGACTTGCTACAGTACTATTCTTCGACCATATCTCCTGGAAACTTAAAAAATAGAAAGGAAACGT